GAGGACAGGCATATCTACATGGTGGAAATATTACATAAAGATAAACCACTACTGAGCATCTTCTCCCAACTCCACTTTCAGTAACTTCACGTTGGTAATTTCAAATCAGCCATGATGGAAGTAATTACCACTAAAATTGGCAAATGCTGCAAACTGAGGCTATTTTTTCTCTCCAAAGAATCAATTTTAAAAAATTTACCAACCCACCACTCCCATGGGTATTCTAAAAATTTTTTATAAAGAAGGCTGGTTTAAAATGCGTAACACTGTAAATACTTGAAAAACTACTTCCAGAAAAGTCACTGATGACACATAGGGAATATTATGTTAAATGGTACTAAATTATAAGATAGATCAGTTCTGGAATACTCCAAAATATAAGTAAATGACCATTTTTATTTCATAAAGAAAAATATGCCATCCATCTTTAACAAATTGCTATAACTCTGGAGGTTTAATTTTGGTATGGAGTCATTCTAAACAGAAATGAAGAGGATTTGGCATAAGAGTAGAATAAGAAACTACCAGGAGTCACTGTTGAACACTTTTCAGGCCCATGCTCACAGTTCTAAGTGTTATTATGCCCTTCTTTTTCATTTAAATAACTTTCTCATGCTCACTTTGGCAACATAGATACTAAAATTGGAACGATACAGAGACAAGCATGGCCCCTGAGCAAGGATGACATGCAAATTCATGAAGCATTCCATATTTCTTGTTCTCCTAGGGCAGTTTACCCAGGCAATAGAAATAAAAGCAAAAATAAACAAATGGGACCTAATCAAACTTACAAGCTTTTGCACAGCAAAGGAAACCTGTAAGCAAAACAAAATGACAACCTACAGAATGGGAGCAAATATTTGCAAAAGATGAGACTGGCAAGGGCTTAATCTCCAGAATATATCAACAGCTCGTACAACTTAATAAGAAAAAAGCAAACAACCCAATCCAAACATGGGCAAAAGACATAAACAAGCAATTCTCCAATGAAGACATACAAATGAAAAAAAAAAAAAAGACATACAATTGGGCAACAGGCACATGAAAAAATGCTCAATATCACTAATTATCAGAGAAATGCAAATCAAAACTATAGTGAGGTATCATCTCACACCAGTCAGAATGGCCATCATTCAAAAGTCCACAAATGATAAAGGCTGGAGAGGGTGTGGAGAAAAGAGAACCCTGCTACACTGCTGGTGGGAATGTGATTTGGTGCAGCCATTATAGAGAACAGTACGGAGATTCTTCAGAAGACTAAAAACAGACTTATCATATGACCCAGTAATCTCACTCCTAGGCATATATCCAGAGGGAACCTTAATTCAAAAAGATGCATGCACCCAATATTCCTAGCAGCACTATTTACAATTGCCAAGACATGGAAACAACCTAAATGTCCACTGACAGATGACTGGATAAAGAAGTTGTCATATATTTATATAATGGAATACTACTCGGCCATGAAAAATAACAAAATAATGCCATTTGCAGCAACATGAATGGACCTAGAGATTGTCATTCGAAGTGAAGTAAACCAGAAAGAGAAAGAAAAATACCACATGGTATCACTCATATGTGGAATCTAAAAAAAGAAAAAAGAAAAGAAAAGACAAATGAACTTAGTTACAAAACAGAAACAGACGTACAGACATAGAAAACAAACATGGTTATGAGGTGGGAGAAGGGAGTGGGAAGGGATAAACTGGGAGTTTGAAATTTGCAGATACTAACTTCTATATATAAAATAAACATGTTCACACTGTATAGCACAGGGAACTATATTCAGTATCTCATAGTAACATGGTGAAAAATATGAAAATGAATATATGTATGTTCATGTATGACTGAAGCATGTGCTGTACACCAGAAATTGATACAACAATGTAAACTGACTATACTTCAATTTAAAAAATATATATAAAATAAACTTCACACACACCTGTTCTCTCTATTCAAGTATCTATTTTCCCACAATAAACTGATTTTGTTTCTGTTCTTACTGTTGTTTTTGTTTACTCTTCTGTACTAATCATAACTCTTTTAAAACATTAAATTTTTGTGTATATGAAAAAATGTGAAACTGAGGAGGGCAGGCATGTTCCTTAGAACTTTAGGGTTTTTCCAAGATGCCTTGCCTCATGGGGTGAGGAAGAGGCTAAATGGATGGGACTGCAGCCTCCTTCCTTCTGACATTAACCAGAGAAGCTTAGCATTTGTATCTGTCTTTTATATAGTGGGGTTCTGTGTAAAATGTCGTTTCCTTTGTACAAAGGAAGGAAGAAGGATGGAGGAAGGGGTGGAAGGCAGAAACAGACAAAAAAAGAAAACCAGTGGGTTAGACAACTCAGGTATGTATGTGTGTGCATGCATGCATGTATATTTACCATCTGTAATTCTGAAAGCTGTGTTTGTGCGTTTTGGGAGGAACAGCTGTAGGTAGATTGGGTCCATTCATAGTTAAGATATTAGTGCATTTTTAACTGAATTACATGCATTATATGTTAAATATACACATACACACATATACAAAGATCTAATTTAAATGATTGGTATTTGAGTTTTTAAAATTAAAATGTAAAATTAAGGAGAGTATGCAGATAATCCAGGTTTTAAATGGAACAAAAAAATTCTAATTTTTCTATCTTCACACAATTACATTATGTGTGTCTTAAAAATAACTTCACGCGTTGTAAATTATTTGTAAAATAAGAGCAACACTACCTCTCAAAACAAAACAGAAACAGAGAACACTTTACAGAGATGAATAAAATGAAAAGTCCCTGAGAAAGGAAATTTTTAAACAATAAAACACACTGCTGGTTGGAATACTGTCTTTTGAAGAATACAGCCAAACACTTTTCAAACTAAATAGTCTCTCAAATTTGAAAAGGGAAGATAAATAAAGGTATTGATTTAAATGACTAGAAACGCATTTACTTTAAAGACTTTTTTCTAAAAAAATTTCCTCGAGCAAGTAAATCAATCAAGTAGTAAACGGGATAGCACCATAATGACTGTAAGACAAGGGGCAAGGGAGACGACATACTGGCTGCGCGGAAGATGTGTGTTCCACAGACTTTGTTTTGAGGTCTTCCATCCCAGTACTAGCCAGGCCCCATCTAGCTTCGCTTATGAAATCTGACAAGGGTACAGCCGACGGCAATAAGGATGCAGGGTAGTGATTTTATTTCTTATTTTATTCATTGCAGCCCCAGGGAGAGAGATAACGAGAACAGGAATGAAATCCAGGTCTCCTCCATAAAACACTGCACAACATCACCACCAGGTCATCAGGGGAAAAGAGAAGACACTATTTTATTTTAAAAGGGTTTCTTTGTTACAATATTTATGGTGGAAAATTATTTTGTTTGGCTTACCCAATGACTCATTCAAATCTCACTTTTATTAATCATATATATGAATGGTTGTTTTCATACAAAAAATGTTTGACACTTGCTTAATGGACTTAAAATACGTAACTACACTGTTTCAGAAACTGAAAACAAATGACAATCACCAACTTAACTTATGTCAGATAATTATAATCAGAAATAACTTTATATTTTACTTTTTATCTAATAGTCCTACAGTCTGAATATTCATCATCTTTCACTTATTGCTTCAAAGTGCTGTAGGCACTGACACTGATGAAAGCCCTGGCAAAATCGGGGAGAAATTACCTGAGTTTGACCCTTTCAAAACCTTACGAAGGTTAAGGAACTCCACAGATGGATTAACGCCTAATTTACTTACACTGGTGGGCCATGTAAAATTCCTATTTGAATGTTTTTGCTCTAAAAAACAGCAACTGCGTATCATTGAACTAAATATAGCACAGTACCTGTGATAATCAAACATCCCTCGTAAAATGGAAAAATGTTACTAACTTAGGGTTCTTATGAGGGTTAAATGGGCAGCTCGATGTAAAGCACACAGGACAGTATCTGACCCAAGCTGTCAAGAATGATGATGGTGGGGGAGGGTGTAGCTCAGTGGCAGAGCACGTGCTTAGCGTGCATGAGGTCATGGGTTCTATCCCCAGTACCTCCATTAAAAACCTCCATTAAAAAAAGAGATGATGATAAAAAATTTTTGTATTTCTTCTGTTTAACTTGGAATTATCAGTAAACTCAAGAGCTAGCTTCCTACTACGGTATTTTATTTATGCAGCTTCTCTGTATGAGCTATACAGATGCACAGCCTGTCTATGGTCATTCACCGCCACGTCATATGCCCAGGGCAACCTTTCCTAAAAGTTCATCTCTCCATTACATATTTTACAGCAATACTTTGTGACATTACAGACATGGTACTGAAAACCTTTCCAAATATATAGTGGACAAAACAAAAACTAGTTAAGAGATTGATCAGAGAACCTCTTAAAGAAACAGTCAACTTAATACAAAGCAGCAGAGTCAACTTCCTAATACAAGCATCATGTATTTCTCTTCATTTGGTTTCTACTAATAAAAGGACAAAAGAAAAATTTAAGTGTTGATGAACATGACACTTTGAACATTGACAGGAGGATTCCGAAGAAAGGTAGAATACGAGGAAAACTATGTTTTAGGGTTTCTCAGTTTACGGAATGTTCTAACATATATACTTTTACCTCTAAGGTAGACAGCCCAGATAATTTTACCCTTTTCTACAGTGCCAAGTAATTAGAAAACTAAAACCCAGACCACACAGGTAGTAAACAGTGATGCTAACACTAGAGCTCAGGTCTCTCCATCTTAGGGATCCAGTGTTTTGTCTTCCACGCCTCCATTACGGTGTCTCAGCAAAAGTCACCACAATAAATTACTTTGCACACTTGATTAGTTTAACAACTACTTATTGAGTATTAAAGTGTGCACATCTCTACAGTCAGTTCAACCACAGAAACCATAAGTAAAAATTCTAATGAGAGAAGAATATAGGCTTTGAAACAAGGGAACCCAAGGAATGAAATGCTGTATCATTACACAGTTCTACACACAAAAACTACTTCCTTTTAATTAGTTACAAATGCAGTGACCCTATTTCCAAATACCACTTTCTGAGGTACTAGGAGTTAGGGCTTTAATATTTAAATTTTGGGGGGACACAACTCAACACATAACACAAAATACAGGAAAAAATAGATGAAGTGAAGGGTCAAAGATCATTTTATTGTCTGGGGAGTAGCAACAGAAACTCATGCAAGACTGTAGTAAGATGCATACTGAATACTATATATTATTCACTAAAAGAAGAATAAAAGAGTGTATAATGATAACAAGTTCATGGAGGGGAGAAATGGAAATTAAAAATTAATCCAAAAGAAAGCACGAGAGGAAAAAGAAGGGACAAATAGAAAGCAAATACTAGGATGATAAATTTGAACTCCCAAATATCAGTAATTATACTAAACACAGATGAATTAAACACTCATCACAAATTTCTAAAACTGTAAACTTAAATAATAAAAAAACTATATACAAATAGAAGGCAATAAGAGATTTCTGGAAAGTATCTATCTTTTAGGAAACTAAACATGAGTCAAAAAGGAAATCACAAGAAGAATTAGGCTGTTTTGGACCAAATGAAAATGAATACATGATATCAAAATTTGTGAGATACAGCTATAAACATACAAATATTAAAAAAACATAAAGCTCTACATTTAAATAAATCAACACTCATAGGAAACTCACAACATTAATACTTAGAAAAGAAGGAAGTTCTGAAATCAATGACCTAAGCATCCACCTAAAGAAATTAGAAAAACAGCAAATTAAACCCAAAATAAGTAGAAGACAAGAACAAATTAACAGCAGAAATCAATGAAATAAAAAGCTAAAAAAAACCCAGAAAAATCAATGAAACCAAAAGCTGATTTTTTAAAAAAGAAAATCAGTAAAATGCATGTACTTCTAAAGACTTGTAGAGATCCTGACCAAAACTAAAACAGAAGACACAAATTACCAAAATCAGAAGTCAAAGAAGATACAATACTACAGATTCTACTACAGTGGCTGTTAAGGACCACAACATGGATAAATCTTGAAAACAAGCCAAGCCAAACACCAAAGACTACATATTGTATGGTATCAATTATGTGAAAGGTCTACAACAGGCAAATCCATACAGACAGAAAGTAGATTAATGGTTGCCAGGGAAGGGGAGAGCAGAGAATTGGACCTAACTGCTAAGAGGTAGAGTGTTATTTTCTGTGTGTGTGTGATGAAAATGTTCTTAAATTAGACAGTGGTGATGGCTGTACAACACAGTGAATAGACTAAAATCACTGAAGTGTGTGTTTTAAATGGTGAATGTTGTTATGTGAGGCATGTCTCAATAAAAAAAGCCTACAACATATATTTTAAAGTTAAACAATAAAAGTGATACATAATTTTAATGATGAAATTAAAACTTAGTAATGAACGCTTTTTTGAGATTGGAAACAAAACAAGGATATGAATTACCATCACTTCTAGTCTGCATGTACTACAGATCTGTATCAGCACAAAAGAAAAAAGATAAAAAACTCAAAGAAACTGTTAGAATTAAAAAATAAATTTGGCAAGGTTGCAGGATACAGGGTTATTATATCAAAATCAAGTGTATTTCTGTATAGCAAATATAATTGGAGAGTAAAATTTAAAAAAATATCATATGTTATCTAAAAGCATTAAATACCTAAGAATATATTTTTTAATCTGCAATATGTACACACAAAAACCTTCAACAAATTATTTAAATTTTTTTCAAGACTTGCATGAATGGATTTATTCATGGGTTGCAGAGTCAGTGCTGTCTGGATGCCAATCCTTCAAAAATTAATCTATATATTCAATGTAATCCCAAATGAATATCTCAACTGCATAATTTGTGGAAAACGACAAGCTATTTTAAAAATTTTTATGTGAATGTGAAGTGGCAATCTTACAGGAGGAAAACAAAGCTGGAAAATTACTGAACCAGACACCTACTGTGCGGCTACAGTGATGAAGACCGTGTGGCATCAGCACCAGGATGGAGTAGATTAACGGTACAAAGGAGAAAGTCTAGAAACAGACCCAGACATTATGGATACTTGTTTTATAATAAAGGTGGCACGTGCAGAGCTGCAGCAAGCAATCATTTCATTAATTGGTATAGAGTCAATTGGTTTGGAAAACTTCTGAAAGAAAATTAAACTTGATCATTACTTCACACTAAACACAAATATTAACTCCAGGGGACTGCAAATCTAAATGTAAAAAGTAGAAAATTAAACTTCTAGAAAGATTTGGAAATATCGTTACGACTGCAAAGTGGGAAAATACTTCTTAAACATGACAAAAAAAACACCAAATAAAGGAAAGGAAACGATTGATGATTCAAACTAATAACTCTGTTTCATCAAAAGACACCATTAGGAGAGTGAAAAGGCAAGCCAGAGTCGAAGAAAAACGTGCAAAGATTCATTTCTGAAACATTTTAAAAACTTTACAAACCAGTATGAAAAAACACAGGTCACAATAAAATGACTTGAAAAGGCACCTCACATAGGAGAATACAGACGTCCAACAAACGTAAGAAAAGGTGTTCAATCTTAGTCACCAAAGGATATGCAAATTAAACCATAATTAAACATCACTACATACTTAACAAAATGATTAAAAACATAGAAGACTCAATCCAGTGTTAGTAAGAATGTAGAGTAACTGAAATTTTCATATCCTGCTACTGAGGTATAAATTGAAACAAACATTTAAAAAAAACTGAATTAGTTACTAAAGTTGATCCTGAAACTTAACTTCAAAAATAGAAATTTACACATATGTGTACTAAAAGTACAATAATGATCACAGGAAATTTATTCATTATAGTTGAAAACTGAAAATAACACAAAGCGCCAATAAAAATAAATTGTGCTATATTTCTAAATGGATTGTACAGCAATGAAAATGAACAAACTACTGCAACACACAATAATGAATGAATCTCACAAATGCTATGTTCAACAGAGGAAAGCAGATGCAGAGGGAGATATGGAATGTGTTACAGACTGAATGTCTGTGTCCCCCTCAATCCATACACTGCAATCCTAACCCCCTAGTGTGATAGTATTAGGGGGTGGGGCCTTGGGTGGTTAAGTCATGAGGGTGGAGCTCTCATGAATGGGATTAGTGCCCTTATAAAAGAGATCCCAGGGAGCTCTCTCACCTCTTCCGCCACTTGAAGACACAGCAAGAAGACTGCTGTCTATGAACAGGAAGAGGGCCCTCACCAGACACCAAATTTGCTGGTGCCTTCATCTTGGACTTCCCAGTCTTCAGAACTGTGAGAAATAAATGGTTAAGCCACCCAGTCTATTATATTTTTGTTACAGCAGCCCAAATGGACTGAGATAGGATGATTCCATTTATAAACTTCAGATAGCAGGAAAAACTGATCTGCAGTGTTAGAAGTCAGGATAGTCATTCTCTTTGTGGAAGAAAAGAAAGGTGGTGACCAGGACAAGGCATGAGTGTGGCTTCTGGACACTGGCAATGTTCTACTTCTTCATTTTGGCAGTGGTTAAGCTGGTTTACCGTGTGATAGTTTACTGAGCCGTGTTATTTATATTTTATATACTTTTCTGTATGTATTTTACTCAAAACAAAATTTAAAAACCTTACTTGTTTTTTCTGTGTTCTGTTCCTGTTTTCCAGCCAATCGTCCATTTGCTCCTCAATTTCTTCTATAGAAGTTCCATGATCATAAGACTGAATATATGCACTTTCTAAGGGTGTATATGTAGGAAATTCAGGCTTTGGTTTTTTTACTTTGACTTTCTTCTGCTCTAAAAAAAAAATGTTTAAAAGAACCAATTAATAAAAGAATAAAAAGAATTTCTAACATAAAATATTCACAGACCATATCTTAAAAGAACACACACACACACACACACACAATATATATATTAGTCTTTCATCAAAACAGAATTGCTTTGCTATAGTTAGCTGTAAGTTTTACTGCACATTATTTACCACATTGTTTTAAAATAAAACTCACAGATGCTAATGATAGATGATTAGGATGTAACCCCATATCAATTTGTATATATCTTTAGTTTTGAAAGTGCTGTTCATGAAATGTTTCATTTTGGCCCAATGAAAAGAGCCTGGTCATCAGTGTTCTAACCCTAACTCTACCACCTAATAGCTGAATAATACTGGGCAAGTAACTAACCCTTAGAACAAGTGTCCAGTTTCTCTTCTGTAAAAGGGAGCTGTATCTAACCTCAAAGTTGATGTGAGGAAAACTATACATCCCCTAACATACTACTTGGCAGAAAATTAGCTCGTAACAGTATACTCATAAGTGTATTCATCTTTTCAGTATTTTACAAGGCAAAATCTAATCTGGCAACATCAGGAGTAGTTATCAATCGATGTTTATCAATTTATCAATTAGCCTCTTCGTTAAATCCTTTTTTGATTAGAGTTAACACTGAGAAGCAGCTCCATTCTTAATCACTACTGTCAAATTCATCCAGCCTTTAACAGTATCTTCACCAGCCTCTGTGTGTGTTTCACATGTACTATAATGCCAATATAATAAAATTAATATGACATTGGCATATGAATACACAAATTCCTAGAAGAGAATAGACAATCCATAAATATTTCAATTCAGTGGGAAAAGGATCTAATAATACTGGCACAAATGAATATCCTTTTGAAAGAAAATTGGAAACAGCCTTATATATAAAATCCTAGTTGGATAAGAGACTTGACTTTAAAACTCTTCCAAAAATAAACCTAAAAAACTATCTGTACTATTTAAAGGAAGAGGAAATCTTAACTAAGACTGAAAACCCAGATGCCATAAAAAGATATAAGAATAAACAAATCGAGAGAAATAACAGATTTAGAAAGATCACCTACAATTCAGAGTACAAAAAGAAAACTGATACATAGAATACATAAAGAGATCTTATAAACTGACAAGATGATAAGTAGCCCAACAGAAAAAATGGCCAAAAAATAATGTACGTTAATATAGTAATTATTGTTGGTGTTGTGATATCATGTACACATACACACCGTATGCGGAGAGAGCTGATGGCTACTCTGTTGACTTATTTTTGTAAAAGGGTTTATATAGGACATGCATGATGCCTCACATACCATCTAAGTTATAACAATGTTAATAATCTTAAGCCATTTAGGTTCCTAGGCTCCAGGTTCCCAGGCTCCTGCAGTAAGCACAGGATGTTACATGATCAAGGACAGATTGTATTAAAGTTTGTCACAAAACTTCATTAAGTAGGCCATCTCTTACCCAGCCGGCCATGCCTGTCTTAGGTTGTCCTCCTCTGAGGATCTTACCCGTTCATTGGCTATCCAGCCGTCCATACTGGATACATTAAATAGGCCATCTCTTATCCAGCCAGCTACGTGACATTTCTCCCAGCTTGTTTATCAGTTCAGCCATGGCTTATTCTCTAGAGCCTTCAGGCGGGGGCCTACAATTATGTGCTGGAGAGGGTGTGGAAAAAAGGGAACCCTCCTACACTGTTGGTGGGAATGTAGTTTGGTGCAGCCATTATGGAAAACAGTATGGAGAGTCCTCAAAAACTAAAAACAGACTTACCATTTGATCTAGCAATCACACTCCTGGGCATATATCCAGAGGGAACTTTAATTCGAAAGGATACATGCACCCCAATTTTCCTAGCAGCACTGTTTACAATAGCCAAGATATGACAACAACCTAAATGCCCATCGATAAGATGAATGGATAAAGAAGTTGTGGTATATTTATACAATGGAATACTACTCAGCCATTAAAATGAATAAAACAATGCAATTTGCAACAACATGGATGGACATAGAGATTGTCATTCTAAGTGAAGTAAGCCAGAAAGAGAAAGACAAACATCATATGATGTCACTCATATACGGAATCTAAAAAAAAGAAAAAAAGAGGACACTAATGAATAGTCATATTCAGAGAGGTCATCTTCAGGGCAGTCATAAGAGAACTGAAGCAAAGAGATTCTGAAAATTTTAAAAACGAAAAGAAAAAAAGCAGGAGTAGCTACATTACTATTAGGTAGACTTCAGAGCAAAAAAAAAAAAAAAAAAAGACCAGGGACAGAGAGGGACATTACATAATGATAAAACAAGGTCAATTCATCAAGAAGATATAGTGGTCTTCAATTTGTGTCTATGTACCAAATAACAAAGCTGCAAAATATGTGACGCAAAAAATGAGGGAAATGAAAGGGGAAACAGACAAATTAACAACCACTATCAAAGACTTCAACATCCCTCTCTCAACAATTGACAGGATAACTAAACAGAAAATCAGCAAAGATATAGAACCTAACAATACCCTCAACCAACAGGATCTAATTTCTATTTTCAGAATATTCCAAAAGCAGCAGAATACACATTCTTTTCAAATGCCCATTAAACATATACCAAGATAGACTACATCCTGGATCATAAACACATCTCAAGAAATTTAAATGAACTGAAATCATAGAGTTGGTTTTCTGATGAAAAGAGAATCAAACTAGAAATCAGTAACAGAAAGATAGCAGGAAAATCCCCAAACATGTCGAAACTAAACAACATACTTCTAAATAATCCATGTATCAAAAAAGGAAATCTCAAGGAAAAAAAAAAACTGAACTTAATCAAATTAAAATATATTGAAATATGTGACACAGAAACAGTGCTGACTGAAATGTATAACATTAAAAGCTTGCATCAGAAAAGATGAAAACCCTCAAGTTAGTAATCTAAAAAAAAAGCCAAATGCAAGCAGAAAGTAGAAAACAATAAAAATAGAACAAAAATCAATGAAGTTGAAAACAAAAGCAATACAGAAAATCAATGAAACAAGGAATTGGTTCTTTGAAAAGATCAGTAAGACTGACAAACATCTGGCAAAACTGATTAAAAAAGTGAGGAAACAAGTTACCAATATTTTAGCACTGAAACAGGAGAAATCACCATAGGACATGCAGATGTCAAAAGGATAATAAATGAACAACTCTACACACATAAATTTGATAATTTAGATGAAGCTGACCAATTGCTTGCAAAATACAAACTACCTCAACTCACTCATTATTCAGTGTAATACATATGTGGTATAGATATTTAAACAGCCTTGTAATTATAAAGAATATTTAATTTGTACTTTAAAAACTGCCAAAAAAGAAATATCCAAGCTCAGATGGTTTCACTAGAGAATTCTACCAAATGTTTGAAGAATTAACACCAATTCTATACATTCTCTTTCAGAAAATAGAATACTTCTCAATTCATTATATGGTGGTAGTATTATCCTGATACCAAAATCATATTAACAGTACAAAAAGAGAAAACTAGAGACCAATATCTCTCATGAATATAGATACAAAAATCCTTAAAATATTTGCAAAGAGAATTCAACAATATATAAAAGGGATTATGCACCATGATGGTATTTACTGCAGGGATGCAAGTCTGGTTCAATATTCAAAATTCAATCAGTGTAACCCACCAAATTAACAGGCCAAAGAAGAAAGGTCACATGATCATATTATTGATGAAAAAAATTTAACAAAATTCAACATTAGTCATGATTAAAAACTCAAAACTAGGAATGGAGGGAAACTTCCTCAACTTCAAACAGAACATCTACAAAAACCTACAGGTAACATCATACTTAATGGTACAATAATAAAGCTTTCCCCCTGAGGTTTTTAACAAGAGGAAGGATGCCCTCTCTCCCTACTTCTGGTCAACAAAGACCTGCAAATGCTAGCTAGCAAAATATGGCATGAAAAGGAAATAAAATGCATACCAATTGGAAAGGGAAAAAAATTATCCCTATTGTCATATGACATGACTATATAGAAATGCAAGGAATCTATGTAACAACTCCTAGGACTAGTAAGTAAACCCAAAAAGGTTGCAGGATACAAGATCTACATACAAAAATCAACTGAATTTCTTTATTTAAAGTGAGTATTTGGAAACTGAAATTAAAAATGCAATATCATTTACAATCACTCGAAATAAAAAACACTTAGATGTAAATTTACCAAGATAAATACATGATTTGTAAGCTAAAAACTACAAAACATTAAAGAAATTAGTGAACCTATAAACAAATGAAGTGATACACTCAACATAGTAAATAGGTCAATTCTCCCCAAATTGATAGACAAGTTTAACATAATTCCTATCAAAATTCCAGCAAGATTTTTTTAATAGACATACACAAGATTACTCTAAAATTTACCTGGAAAGGCAAAGGAACTAGGATAGACAAAACATTTTGAAAAAAGAAAATGGGAAGAATCACTCTACCTGATTTTAAGACTTATTGTAGAGCTGCAATAAACAAGGCTTCACATTGACAGAGGGATAGAAATGTAGACCAATGGAACAGAACAGAAAAGCTAGAATAAACCCTACATAAGTGAGGCCAACTGATTTTTGACAAAAGTGCAAAAACAATTCAATGGAGGAAGAATAGTTAAAAAAAAAAACAACACTGAATATCCATAAGCAAAAAACAAAAACAAAAACCCAAACAAACAAAAACCTTTAAACCTAAACCTCACATCTTACAGAAAAATTAAGTTAACATGGATCATAGATTTAAATGTGAAATTATAAAAATTTTAGAACAAAACATAGAAAAATTTTAGAAACTACGGCTTGGTGATGAGCTCTGATATAGTATCAAAAGCACAACACATAAAAAACAATTAATTGGACTTCATTAGAATTAAAAATTTTTATCTCTGTGAAAGACTCAAGAGAATGAAAAGACAAGCGACATATTGGGAGA